ATTGAGCGTGTTTTGTCTAGTCTCGAGGGTTTTCCAGTTGAGATCACTAGCCAGGCTCATGTCGTTAAACAGTCCGAAGATGGAGGTGAGGATCCAGAGAATTCTCGTATTGTGACAGACTTGCTGACTGACAGCCAGTCTGCCATCGACCTTCTCAAGGGTCAGGATCTGCCGAGGAGGTCATGCCACATCGAGATTCGTGTGGAGTGGATGCGCCACACGATGAACTCCGGTCAGGTCCGTCTTGAGTGGGTTCCTGGATCGCAGAATCCAGCGGACTTGTTCACCAAGAACGTGAACACGGCTTTGCTTAACCTGCATCGGGGTCGCTTGGGCTTTGTGACTGTGAAGGATAGTCCTGTGGAGAAGTTGTTTGAGTTGTCAGTGCAGCGTGGCAGGATTGAGATGTCCCATGAGTCCCGTATTGCGTGCTGCTCAGCGAAGTCGGCGCTTTCCCAGGAGTGTTCGCATCAGGGCATCCCGTATGCAGGTGTGATCCAGAACATGCAAAAGCTTCATGTGTACAAGCAGGCTTGTGCTGTTGTGCAGCGCTGGCGTAAGGATGGTTGCTGGGTGCATGTGCACTTGTCCACTCCATGTTCGGCAGGCTCTCCACTTAAGAATTTCACGAAGGATTATGAGCCCTCGCCTGCTGATGTAGAGTGGGATAGTGTGATGAAGTCAGCTGGGCGATACCTTCAGCCTGGTGATGCATGTTCGTTTGAGCTTCCTAGATACAACAACGTTTGGAGCAGATTTGGGACTCAGCAAACATTGTGCAGAGCTCGGCTGATACATGAGTGTCACGTTCATCTCTGCCAGACTGGAGTGAGAAGCAGGTCAGGTCTTCCCGTTGGAAAACAGCTACGCTTCATGTCTTCTGAGCCCATGTTTGCACGAAGACGTCACATGATGTTTGGCACGTGTGGTTGTGTGAAGCATGCTGCTTTTGGTGACACGGATTGGTCGAGCACAGGGTACTACAACCAGAGATTGGAACGCGGTATCATCAAGGCTGCTAGTTCCTTTGCTGTAGGAGGATTTAATTTTGAGCGTTCTGCTCATCTGATGCTCATTTTCTGATGCTCATTTTATCTGGACGCCTTCATGATTAAATCATGTGGCGGAGTCGTCGTCTTTTCTCTTTTCTTGGTCGTCTTTGACGTGATTGGCACTGCAGAGCACCGCTGAGTAACTGAAGTTTCGGTTAGTCGCGCCTGAAGCCATGGATGAGTTTATAGTGCTATGTGCTGCCCTTCTTTTGCTGGGTATGCTTGCAGGAGGACTTATCACTTTGACATTTCGCCATCCTGTGGTGGCTACTGTCCAGATGGAAAAGTTGCAACATGAGTATGCCAACAGAGGAAAGATGCCTGTTGAGCCTGGTGCATCTGCTATGCCGAAGTCTGCAAAAGCTAAGGCGAGACGTGAGCCATTGCAGACTCAAACAGATGGGACGTTCGGATCGTCATCACTTTGCGATTTTTCTGGATGATGGGGAAGCTGTGTACCACAAGACTTCAGATCGTGCAAAGAGGCATGCCACCCGAGTTGAGCTGATCCAGGAGATATTACCATGTGGTGTGTGCCGCGCAATCGCGAATGCAGATTCCTCAGTTTACCTCTCCAAGTATGGCGACAAGTATCATTCTATGGATTGCAAGCATGTGCAGCAGAAGAATTCCCATATCCATGGCTTGATGCCTTGCTCGGAGTGCTGGTCTGGTCCTCGCTTTCTTGAGTGAGCTTGGGACGTTGGGATGAGATTGGTACTTTGGTTTTTATAGTACTATATCTCTGGCTGCCGGTCTGGTATCATGATTTCAAGGAGTGGTATTTGACAAGCTGCTGGAGAGATGATCTTCAAACCATCCCGAAAGGGGGTGTGGAAATTTGGTACCTCGTTTTACTGCTGCGGGATGATTTGGTCTGTAACTGCAACGCCGTAAGAGCTTGCTTGGTTTATGGATCCATGAGCATCTGCGTCAACTTTGTTTTGGAGCAGCAGTGCAGTTTTAGCAGGGCTTCACTTCCTTGTTGAAGCGCTCAAGCCTTTACCAGAACGTTTGAGTGAGAGGTTGCTGAGCATCGAAGTCGTAGAGTTGTCTTTAGCTTAGCAGTGCTGTGGAAGTGCACCACGATAGTTTGCTGCAAGAGCTGTTTTGTTTTCTGGAAGACAGAGCTGTAGCTTGAACAAGCTGCTTTTGGCTGTTGTCGTGAAGGAGCAAATGCACAACTGCATTTGCCAGTGAGAACAGAAGCTTCAAGAAGAAGCTGCTTCTGAAAACCGTTTGGCTCAAGGAGCTAAGCAGTGAAGCCAAGTTACGGAGCCAAGTTTGTCAAGACGTTTCCTGACTTGGTGCGAGTGCCAAAAGTGACAGTCACGTCAGTCTGCTTGCCTCGGAAGGGTTAGTAAGTTTTACACAAAAGCAGCTTGTGAACACACACGTCGCCGAACCCCCACTGATTGCAGGAGTGTCGCGCGGAATACTGTGAACCCCAAATGATGCAGGAGTGTCGCGCGGAACACTATGAATACCACGTCGCCGAACCCCAAATGATTGCAAGAGTGTCGCGCGGAACACTGTGAATACACGTCGCCGAACCTCAAATGATTGCAGGAATGTCACGCAGACACTGTGAACACACACGTTGCTTTTCATCCGGTCCTCGGCTCTTCGCGCAGCTTGCAGTAAGCCAAAAAGAAAGCAACTTGGTTGTCAGAGCACTGGTTGCAGGTGCGTACAAATCTTGCGGCCGCTCGAGCCAGCGGTGTTTGCGCGCTACCAGCCTTTGATAAGCTCGCTTGGGTGTGAACGCAAGACGATTCGAGTCAGACGGCTTGTGAACAAGAGCTTGAGGTGAATGGTGCGATGATGGTTATGATTTGTCGTTTGCGCAGTGTGCTGATGGAAGCGCATGGCGTGAGGCTACCACCAGACTGATGCCATGAGTGCGTCTGTGGTGCCGCTCATCCAGATTGCATTTTGTTGCTGCTAAGTCTTGACCCTTGCGCGGCTATGGAATGATTACAGCGAGAGCAGCAAGAATGCAAACGGCAGCAATGACGTGTGTTGCAAATTCCACAGCAGATGCATCCGAAGGTGACTAGAGAGTTGGTGGAGCAGATTTCTGCTTGGCACAATGTGGGCTGTGCCTGATGTTCATGATGCAGCTTAGCAATGTTGGTTGAAGCAAGCGTGGCGCTGAAGGCAGAGAACGAAAGTGACCAGATGCGTGATCGCCGAGATGGACTACGACCGCATCGATATTTGTCCGAAAGGATCCGCCGCTGCCGGGTCCAGCAACGAGCTGCGTACACCGCACCATGACGTCTACTGCACATTGCGGAAGGGCAAAGCATATCACACCACCATTGCCTTTCCATTGCCGAGGAATTCATTAAGATTGCACTTTCAGAAGCGCAAACAAGAGGCTACAAGCCGTGCGCTGGATGCGCGGTGGCAAGAAGAAAGAGAAGAAGTGATTCCTTGAGATGCTCATGATGCCGATGCGCCGAATCGTTGTACACAGTCAGTCGCTTGATCCTCCGGGAACATGCTATTGACAATCTGCATGTACAGGTTATTGATACAGTATACCGCAAGCTTGAACTTTTGTGCTTATGACATCCTTGGAAGGAAAATCCGCCGATGCACCCCCCGCCACCGCCATTTTGGCGACAATACTTTACTTCCGGACACAAAGCCGTCAGCCGTGGAGCGGCTATGCCCATGTGAAGGATTCGAGATGATCCTTTGGACTGTCAGGAAAAGCAAGTCTCTTTTACGAGCTCGAAGTTTTTGCCGTTCTTGCAGCGTTTGACCTGTGACACGGCATTCTTCGCGAAGCGGGGGTGCTTTGCTTCGTTGACAACGATGGCGTGTTGGGGTCTTTCAAAAGCACGAATGAAGGGTTCTGGAACTTCTTGAAAGCGCTCACGAGATTCGAATCCTTTGCAGCACAGAGTAAAATGAAGGTCCGGTCCCACGTCTGCCTTTGAGTGATTTCGAATATTCTATGGATTCATTTGATATTGTTGCGAGTTTCTACTACATGGATTTTGCATGAAACGTTGTGCGAAACTTTTGAAAATACGTCTTTGGTGTGCCAAACGAGCGCGCGCTGGCAAACAGCACGCAATCATGTCCGGAGCGCGCATGTAGTCAGCGAGCAAGTGCATGCCACTTGCAAAGCATCATTGCATGTGCAGTGTTCGAGTGCGATCACTCTGAAAACGTATCATGTTTTTCATTGCGCACTTGTCGGTATGAATGAGTTTGGAAAGCTGCTGCTCATTGCTTCCGTTGTGTTTGTCCAGCGGTGTACCGTGATTCACAGTTTGCAATGGCACTTGAGCTGTGCCAGGAACACCTGAACTCATTCGGGCTTCTTGTGCTCAGCAGATTACAAACCTTCGGGGACTGTGCCGTTCGGGAATTCGTCGGTGAACTCTCGAACAACTCCTCTGATGCCAATGTGCACTTAAGACTTGAACCTGCAAGGCCAGGTATGTTGATGTGGGGGGTAGTTGAAGCATGCAAAGCAACAATGCCGGACCATGAGACCAATCGCGCACAGTTCCTATGCCATTTTGTCGGACGTGTAGATGCTTGAGCACACGAGAGTGGTTACATACGTCACGTGTCGAGATGGCAACATCTGGGTTCAAGTTCGCGCCATGTCAAAATAATTGCAGAACGCACATATCGAAACACAAACAGTTGAAATGGAGCAAGAGTTGGGTGCATGCTGGACAGGGTTGACTAGTTGCATGTTGAAACGTTCGCCAGCAGCGGCATTTTGCAGGCTGATCTCGGTGGAATTTCTCAGCTGTTACTTGGTTTTGGTATGCGACACACGGAAGTCTTTACATGTGCTGTGTTCGTTTTTCGTGCACCTTGTCACAGACGTCTCTGCAGTGGAAACGCATTCGGAAGTCGCCAGCACAGAGCACCGACTGCATAGTGTGTGCCCTGCATTTTTGAGTTGCTCAGGCCATGGGTTTGGAGACCAGCTGCTTGGTGCAGCCAGGCCATGTTCGGGAGTGTGCAAGAAACCCGGAGCAGAAGACTCGAAGACTCTCTTTTGACCTGGGACTTGTTCAGCAGGCGCGCCCAGGCACCAAATCGGCGGCTATACTTCCACAGGTGACGTCGGCGCAGTTCGTTTGTTTGTTTGTTCTTCTCTCCTTCTCTGTCGCACTCTCTCTCCCTCTCTCCCTCTGTTTCTCCTGCTTCCCGCTTCTCTAGCTACGTAGGTCTCTAATGCTACATAGATGCCACCAGCTTCCCCTTATTTAGAGGTCTTAGTCCGGGCAAGTCAAAACCGCAGGTCAAGGCCGGCTTCCCCTTTTTCCAGCCATCCTCTGCACACCCTTTTATTTCCAGCTTTTCATCATCCTTGGATGCCTCTTCTTCTTCTTCTTTTCTTTCTTCGGTGGCGCGGCAGGCTGCTTCGTGCCGGGGAACAGCTGCATGGGCCCGGGGAGCGCCGGCCATCTCAGACTTGGAGCCGGTTTTTTTCGCGGCATGAAGTTTACCCGGAGCGAGGCGTGCATGAATCGCCAAGATGCCCGCAATGTGAAGAACGGCGAGGTCGACCTCTCGGCGCTCTAGACCGGCGCGCACCGCTCTTCGGTTCTCGCTTTGCCAGGCAAAAGGTGCCCGTGGAAACCACGGCCCACTGCTGGAGGTTGTCGGCAGATGCCGGTTCTTTTCGCGTGGATGTTTCTCTGCCGCGCATCCGCTCGCAGTCGCTGACGCTGCGGCCCTTGCCCACGGGTCCGGGGCCCTTCTGTGGACCCGATCGGGGCGTCACCCTCGAGGTGCGGCAAAGGGCCGGGGCTGTGGGGGGGGGGGGCCGAAGCGGCAGAGGGGTCGCCTGCTGAGGCGAAGTACGCATCCTCGGAGGAGGCCTGCAAGGCTGCCAAGAAGTTCGCTGTGTCCGGAGACGCGCAGCAGGTGCCCCGCTGCCCTGAGCTTGAGTTCTATTGACTGTATTGCTTGTATTCTATGCTTGTATTCTATGCTTGTGTGTGTGTGTGTGTCTGTGTCTGTGTTTTCCTGCAGAGCCCCAGCAAGTGGACTAGTCACAGGCGCTGGTCGCCTACTCCAATGCCCTGGAGTTGGACGAGGCGCCTCCTTTGCATTGGTGAAAAGTGCTTCGACTGGCCTGGCCAGAACAATCCTTGTGTCTGCGACGACTTCGGACAGTTCCTACTGGCCCACGGACAGGACAGGGCAGAAGAGGGGCTCTCGAGTGCATAAGGCGCGTAGAAGCGATCTTTTCTGCCCAGTTGGCTGGAGCAGAGTACCTCTTCACCCGAGCGGGGGACCTGGTCGCAGCCGGAAAGAATATCACAACTCGTTGCAGATATCGTTGCACGCAGGCCGTGTCCTTGGACCCACAGAATGCCCAGCCCGCTGCTCAGACGAGCACTGCAGAACAGCTGCATGCAGCAAATGTTTTGCCTCAGGTACTGCTACCGTAAAGGTGTGGTGCTGCAGCAGCAGAGGCTTGCAGAGTGGGCACATAGTCTCATTGGCTCATTGTTAGTTTTGGCCAGTCTCAGGCAGCTGAAGCAAGCCATAGAGGCCTTCACTGCAGCTTTGGCTTTGAAGCCTCAGCAGAGCCCTCAGTGTGAGCTTCTTGGGGGCTTTCTTGCGGCGAGCTATGGCCCCTAAGGTTTCTGGGTGCCCTCTTCAACCTGGGGGTGGTGCACCGTGAGCTGGGACAAGCTGGCACAGTTTCGACATGGTGACAGATGCAACGGATTTCGCTGCCATGGGGAGCGCTGGCCTCGAAGCATGAAGCACGGCTCTATTCCTTGTGGCAAAAACACGCAAGGCGACGGAGGTGGACCCTGTTGAAAGCTTGTAGGCGAATGCCCAGGAGCTGCCCCAAGCTTCGACCTCGAGCACAAAGGTGGTGTCGCCTCGAGTTCACACACCTCTCCCGTTTTTTCGCACCTCTCACAGTCTGTTCCACGACGGAGCCTTCCTTCAGCGCCTTGCACGCGTCATCGGGGGACCAAATTCCGTTTTGCACTCGCTTCATTGCACAGCAACTCGAAAATCAGCACATCATCTTTTGTGCAGCACCTGTGCACGTTTGTCGCTAGCGTTAGGGAACACAGTGCACGACGGTCCGGCCGGCCGTCGCGGCTTCTGTTCGATCCCGTTCCGAGTGTCGCCGGCACCATAACAGGCCAAGTCTCAGTGGCAGCCGAGCAGTTCCACAGGCCGAGAGGGCCGAGGGCAAGGGGGGGGGGGGGAAACAAATTGTAGAAAGGGGGGTTGTAGGGTTTCAGCCGTCAGGCGTTGGGGTCAACTTATCTCCTTGCCCATTTTTCATCACACATTTTCACACATCATTTTCATCATCATCATCTTCTTCATTCCATCCCATCATTTCCACACTCGTTTTATGCTAGGGGTTTCTGGGGTTTCATCATAAAATCCTAAAATTTTCGTACTTTTATCCTTCTCTTTCATCACATTTCGTCACCTCACTCATTATTTTCATCATAATGTCAGAGATTATCATTGATAATTCCTAGGTTTCTGGGGAGTTTTAGGTTCTAAAGTTTTAGCAAATATTCAGAATACGTTTTATTATGAATGCTTGTGTGGGGTTTTGTCTTGAAGTTGAATCATTTCATCAAATATGTTAACTTTGTATTAAGAGGTGTATTCAATTATCATTTACTTTATTTTTACAATGTAAGGAATCATCATCATCACTTGAAATATCATCATTTCCAGTATAATCAAAAAAGTTTTTCAGTTTAGTTAACAAGTTTTCATATGTTTCTAGGGTCTTGAAACTCTGCTTTTCCTGTTCACAATATTTGCTAATTTCATTGTCAAGAAAATCTTGTTTAATATTTTGTATTGATTGTAATCTATTTTGAGTAGTTCATATTCTCGCTTGACATTTTCAACTCTATTTTTGTATTTATTGATTTAAACTTCCATGCAATATTATGGGTCGTTTTTTCTTTAAGTAGATTCATTACATTTTTTAGCTTTATATCTATTTTGAATTTCATATTCTCAAAAGTAGGACAGCCACGATTAAAATCATTCCCGTAATCTCGGGGGTGTTATCCCCGTAATCTCGGGAGTGTTATCCCCATAATCTCGGGGGTATAATCTCGGGGGTAGTATTCCTGAAATCTTGGTCATGAAAACAACTTAACATATGAATTATTGTTCCTAATAAAGTATACAATAAAGGTGCCCGCGCAATCTTGCACAGTGCCCGTCCCTACTTAAAGGAAAGGCACCCTTACAGGGTATGGAGCCAGACCCCCCTAGTTCCTACTTAAAGAATGATAGCCTATATATTTGTATGGAAGATTCATTAAAAAATCGTCAGATATAGGCGAGATTAAAGTTAATACTAAAGGTAAACAACTAAAGAAAGTTATTATTCAAGGTAAAGAATATCCATAGAATCCATCCACACCTTTTACAGAGCGTTTATCAAGGAAACCTGACAAACTATATCTAAAACACCAGATTTCAAACGTTTTCAAACATTAAACGACGCTTCTAAAAAGAATCATGGTTCGTCAAGCATTAAAGAGCTATGCTACTAAAAACAAGGCAACAATAACAAATCAACAATCAGCCTTAAACTCTTATTCTAGTTCATATTCCATTACAGATAATACAACCTTTCAGGATTTAAGGGGTTATCATATCTTAAATATCAACAAGAACGCTTAAACGATTATTTGAAGAAGCACAAGAGCATGAAAGTTTTAGTAACAGTTGATTTTAGTATTTACATATGTCGCCCCTGATGTGGATGATGATGAGGACGCATCGTCAGATGCCTCGCGTGCTGAACGCGACGATAGAACACGTACTATAGGAAGTAGAAGATACAATATTTTAAATGAAGAAGATTTAAACAACGCGATAAACAACATGGCTAGCGATATTGAACTGTTAGCTGAAAATAAACACTGAAATACATCAGGATCAAAACTAAAGAAAGTGAGTACAATAACAATACATTATGACAAATATGACCCAACAAGAGCAGGTAAATTTATAGAACTACCGGAATGGATAGCAAAGAAAAAAAGCATGCAGTAATATTAAAAATAATGATGATTATTGATTTAAAATTCTGTATTCTTTGTAGATTTTTTGACATTTACAAAAAAGACCATCCAGAAAGACTTTACCATTATTCAAAAATAATAGACAATGAAAGCTTGATAAATTGGAATGGTGTAAAATTCCCAGCTTCAAATGAAGACATTCAACACTTTGAGGAAATTGACGATAAGACCTTTTCAGTCAATGTTTATACAGTTGATAGGACAATAACAAAATAAGAACAGATAGAGTAACAAAAATAGTGAAACCTAATTGTCATGTTAATCTTTTACGTTTAGAGGATGATGACGGGTCTGATGACCCCTCGCGAGTCTCTCGCGACGGTAATAGTCATTTTGTTTTTATTAAAGAGTATTCTCGTTTAATGGGTTCTCAAACAAACAAACACAAGGAAAAACTATTTTATTGTAGATTTTGTCAAAAAGGGTGTTAACCGCTCACACTCTTAAGGTTGTATGGCTAATGAAGTTCAAGCTATTGAGATGCCAGAAGAAAATGACAAAATGTCATTCCAAAAACGCTACAAAAAAATTGAGGTGTCCATATGTTATTTATGGTGACTTTGAATGTTTGACAACCTTATCTGATGAAGGTATAAAAGGCACGTATCAAGAACACAAACCATCAAGTTTTATGTTAAACGTTGTTAATTCAATAGCAGACGAAGTTAAACCATAGATTTATAGAGGTCAGGATTGTATGGAGAAGTTTTTTGAAACAATGAACCAAATAAGAGAAGAAATGCTTGAAAAGATGCATACACCAAAGGATAAGATTATATCATCTGAAGCTGAAGAAGATTTTAAGAAAAGTGCGAAATGCTTTATTTGCGTGGTTCATTTAACAATACAACAGTAAAAAGAAGGTATGGGATCATTGTCATTTTACAGATTTATATAGAGGTGCCGCACACAATAACTGTAATTTAGATTATTGTTTCAAATACTTTAAAATACCTATATTCTCTCATAATCTTAAAAATTATGATGCACACCTTATAATATCAAATCTTGATAAACTTAATACTAAAAAAGATGATGTAAGCGTGATAGCACAAAACAGCGAAAGGTTTGTTACCTCTTGTTTAAAACAACTTTATTTACAGATAGTTTTAGTTTCTTGTCTTCATCATTAGATAAGTTAATTAAATTAACAAAATATGAAGCAAATGATAAAAGGGAGAACTGAACACAACATTTTAAATATTCACAAGTTCAACGAAACAGAATTACCACCAAAGAAGGAATTCTATAGTCAATTAGCAGAAGAAGATATTAAAGATACAGATTATGATAAGGCACAACACACATGGAAAAGCTTTAACATTAAAAATCTCGGCGAGTGTCATGACCTTTTTCTTAAAACGGATGTTCGATTATTAACAGACGTGTTTGACAACTTCAGAGCAAAAGGTTTAGAAGATTACGGTTTAGACCCAGCCCATTATTACACATTACCTAATTTTGCATAGGATGCCATGTTATTAAAAACAGGTATAACACTTGATTTAATATATGATGAAGAGTTATATATAATGGTTGAGAAGGGTCTCCACGGAGGCATGTGTCAAGTATCAAAGAGAAGAGCAGAAGCAAATAATAAATACATGAATGAAATGTATGATGAAAATACACCGTCTTCTTATATTAATTATCTTGATGCTAATAGCTTGTATGGTTTGGCGATGTGTCAAAAACTACCTTACAAAGATATTAAATTTGTTGACAACTTTACAGAAGAACAGCTTAACACATGGGATGATATGAATGTAGGTTTTATATTGGCCGTTGATTTAGAATATCCTAAAGAACTACACGACAAACATGTTGATTTTCCAATGGCACCTGAAATTATCAATGTAACGACAGATATGTTAACTGAAACACAAAATCCATTTACAAAACCATACAACCACAACAAAGAAGCAGAAGAGGAAGAAACTTGATATGTATCCATCAAATAATAATGCTCACATTCAGAAAGGTATATATTGACAGCAGTTATAAAGTCAGTGGCACTTCATCCGATTTTGTTATTGATTTACCTGAAACAGTTCAGTTAGACGAAAACACAAAGTGTATACTACATGAGGTAAGTATTCCACATTCTTGGTTTTCAATTCAAGAGGGGTTTAACGATAGTTATATTGTTTTCAAGCAGACCCTAACGGCGTCAATCCTGATATAATTGATTATCGCGTTTTCTCAATTGATGAAGGTAATTATTCTTGTGTTGAACTTGCATCACGAATTCAGTTTTGGTTGAATGATTATTTTGAAACTGGAAATCCTGATGCAATTAGAACCGATACTTACACAGTTTCATATGATACGACATTAAATAAGCTAACAATAGCTATTAATTATGCTACTATTATCTTTATTGTTTTTATTGAAGCGGAAGTTAGAAAAAATCAGAATGAATTTACAGGTATTGATGTAAATATTTACGTTCAATAAACAAAGTATGAAATATAGTGGATACATCACCTACTCACGGTATAGCATTACCTTTTGTTAGTGGGTTTATAGACCTTGTTCCAACAAGATTTTTACTTACACTGTAATGAAATATGCAACTAGAACCAATTAACAGTA